CAGCCGGCCGCGACCGGGAGACTCATGGGCGGCGCACAATTGGTCCAGGTTAGGGGAGGGAATGGCCGGCAGGGATGTAGCTCAGTTGATAGAGCATGGCGTTTGCAACACCAGGGTTGTGGGTTCAATTCCCACGGGGGGCCAGTATAAAAAAATATGTATTCACTAACTGTATGTTGCTCTGGATAAGAGCGTCTGCTAAATGACTAAAATGTAAATATGTGTTATTTCATAGTTTTGATGTCTTCACTATTATTCTACAATGTAGAAAATAGTAAAAATAAAGAAAAATGTAATGTAAATGAAAATCCCTTGAATGAGTAGGTGTTCTAAAACTTTTGACCGATAGTATATATATATATATATATATATATATATATATATATACACTGCTCAAAAAAATAAAGGGAACACTTAAACAACACAATGTAACTCCAAGTCAATCACACTTCTGTGAAATCAAACTGTCCACTTAGGAAGCAACACTGATTGACAATAGATTTCACATGCTGTTGTACAAATGGAATAGACAACAGGTGGAAATTATAGGCAATTAGCAAGACTCCCCCAATAAAGAAGTGGTTCTGCAGGTGGTGACCACAGACCACTTCTCAGTTCCTATGCTTCCTGGGTGATGTTTTGGTCACTTTTGAATGCTGGCGGTGCTTTCACTCTAGTGGTCGCATGAGACGGAGTCTACAACCCACACAAGTGGCTCAGGTAGTGCAGCTCATCCAGGATGGCACATCAATGCGAGCTGTGGCAAGAAGGTTTGCTGTATCTGTCAGCGTAGTGTCCAGAGCATGGAGGCGCTACCAGGAGACAGGCCAGTACATCAGGAGACGTGGAGGAGGCCGTAGGAGGGCAACAACCCAGCAGCAGGACCGCTACCTCTGCCTTTGTGCAAGGAGGAGCAGGAGGAGCACTGCCAGAGCCCTGCAAAATGACCTCCAGCAGGCCACAAATGTGCATGTGTCTGCTCAAAAGGTCAGAACCAGACTCCATGAGGGCCCGACGTCCACAGGTGGGGGTTGTGCTTACAGCCCAACACCGTGCAGGACGTTTGGCATTTGCCAGAGAACACCAAGATTGGCAAATTCGCCACTGGCGCCCTGTGCTCTTCACAGATGAAAGCAGGTTCACACTGAGCACATGTGACAGACGTGACAGAGTCTGGAGACGCCGTGGAGAACGTTCTGCTGCCTGCAACATCCTCCAGCATGACCGGTTTGGCGGTGGGTCAGTCATGGTGTGGGGTGGCATTTCTTTGGGGGGCCGCATAGCCCTCCATGTGCTCGCCAGAGGTAGCCTGACTGCCATTAGGTACCGAGATGAGATCCTCAGACCCCTTGTGAGACCATATGCTGGTGCGGTTGGCCCTTGGTTCCACCTAATGCAAGACAATGCTAGACCTCATGTGGCTGGAGTGTGTCAGCAGTTCCTGCAAGAGGAAGGCATTGATGCTATGGACTGGCCCGCCCGTTCCCCAGACCTGAATCCAATTGAGCACATCTGGGACATCATGTCTCGCTCCATCCGCCACCTCATCAGGAGCATGCCCAGGCATTGTAGGGAGGTCATACAGGCACGTGGAGGCCACACACACTACTGAGCCTCATTTTGACTTGTTTTAAGGACATTACATCAATGTTGGATCAGCCTGTAGTGTGGTTTTCCACTTTAATTTTGAGGGTGACTCCAAATCCAGACCTCCATGGGTTGATACATTTGATTTCCATTGATAATTTTTGTGTGATTTTGGCTGTCAGCACATTTTGTTGTCACAAAATACAAAAAAGTATTTAATTAGATTATTTAATTCATTCAGATCTAGGATGTGTTGTTTAAGTGTTCCCTTTATTTTTTTGAGCAGTATATATATATATATATATATATATGTATATATACAGTGGGGAGAACAAGTATTTGATACACTGCCGATTTTGCAGGTTTTCCTACTTACAAAGCATGAAGAGGTCTGTAATGTTTTATCATAGGTACACTTCAAATGTGAGAGACGGAATCTAAAACAAAAATCCAGAAAATCACATTGTATGATTTTTAAGTAATTAATTTGCATTTTATTGCATGACATAAGTATTTGATCACCTACCAACCAGTAAGAATTCCGGCTCTCACAGACCTGTTAGTTTTTCTTTAAGAAGCCCTCCTGTTCTCCACTAATTCCTGTATTAACTGCACCTGTTTGAACTCGTTACCTGTATAAAAGACACCTGTCCACACACTCAATCAAACAGACTCCAACCTCTCCACAATGGCCAAGACCAGAGAGCTGTGTAAGGACATCAGGGATAAAATTGTAGACCTGCACAAGGCTTGGATGGGCTACAGGACAACTGAAGAGAGCTGGGACCACAGTCTCAAAGAAAACCATTAGTAACACACTACGCCGTCATGGATTAAAATCCTGCAGCGCACGCAAGGTCCCCCTGCTCAAGCCAGCTCATGTCCAGGCCCGTCTGAAGTTTGCCAATGACCATCTGGATGATCCAGAGGAGGAATGGGAGAAGGTCATGTGGTCTGATGAGACAAAAATTGAGCTTTTTGGTCTAAACACTCACCGTGTTTGGAGGAAGAAGAAGGATGAGTACAACCCCAAGAACACCATCCCAACCGTGAAGCATTGAGGTGGAAACATCATTCTTTGGGGATGCTTTTCTGCAAAGGGGACAGGACGACTGCACCGTATTGAGGGGAGGATAGATGGGGCCATGTATCACGAGATCTTGGCCAACAACCTCCTTCCCTCAGTAAGAGCATTGAAGATGGGTCGTGGCTGGTTCTTCCAGCATGACAACGACCCGAAACACACAGCCAGGGCAACTAAGGAGTGGCTCCGTAAGAAGCATCTCAAGGTCCTGGAGTGGCCTAGCCAGTCTCCAGACCTGAACCCAATAGAAAATCTTTGGAGGGAGCTTTAAGTCCGTATTGCCCGAAACCTGAAGGATCTGGAGAAGGTCTGTATGGATGAGTGGGACAAAATCCCTGCTGCAGTGTGTACAAACCTGGTCAAGACCTACAGCAAACGTATGATCTCTGTAATTGCAAACAAAGGTTTCTGTACCAAATATTAAGTTCTGCTTTTCTGATGTATCAAATACTTATGTCATGCAATAAAATGCAAATTAGTTACTTAAAAATCATACAATGTGATTTTCTGGATTTTTGTTTTAGATTCCGTCTCTCACAGTTGAAGTGTACCTATTATAAATATTAGAGACCTCTACATGCTTTGTAAGTAGGAAACACTGACGATTTTGCAGGTTATCAAATACTTGTTCTCCCCACTATATATATACACTGCTCAAAAAAATAAAGGGAACACTTAAACAACACAATGTAACTCCAAGTCAATCACACTTCTGTGAAATCAAACTGTCCACTTAGGAAGCAACACTGATTGACAATAAATTTCACATGCTGTTGTGCAAATGGAATAGACAACAGGTGGAAATTGTAGGCAATTAGCAAGACACCCCCAATAAAGGACTAGTTTTGCAGGTGGTGACCACAGACCACTTCTCAGTTCCTATGCTTCCTGGGTGATGTTTTGGTCACTTTTGAAAGCTGGCAGTGCTTTCACTCTAGTGGTAGCATGAGACGGAGTCTACAACCCACACAAGTGGCTCAGGTAGTGCAGTTCATCCAGGATGGCACATCAATGCGAGCTGTGGCAAGAAGGTTTGCTGTGTCTGTCAGCGTAGTGTCCAGAGCATGGCGGCGCTACCAGGAGACAGGTCAGTACATCAGGAGACGTGGAGGAGGCTGCAGGAGGGCAACAACCCAGCAGCAGGACTGTTACCTCTGCCTTTGTGCAAGGAGGAGCAGGAGGAGCACTGCCAGAGCCCTGCAAAATGACCTCCAGCAGGCCACAAATGTGCATGTGTCTGCTCAAACGGTCAGAAACAGACTCCATGAGGGTGGTATGAGGGCCCGACGTCCACAGGTGGGGGTTGTGCTTACAGCCCAACACCGTGCAGGACGTTTGGCATTTGCCAGAGAACACCAAGATTGGCAAATTCGCCACTGGCGCCCTGTGCTTTTCACAGATGAAAGCAGGTTCACACTGAGCACGTGACAGACGTGACAGAGTCTGGAGATGCCGTGGAGAACGTTCTGCTGCCTGCAACATCCTCCAGCATGAACGGTTTGGCGGTGGGTCAGTCATGGTGTGGGGTGGCATTTCTTTGGGGGGCCGCACAGCCCTCCATGTGCTCGCCAGAGATAGCCTGACTGCCATTAGGTACCGAGATGAGATCCTCAGACCCCATGTGAGACCATATGCTGGTGCGGTTGGCCCTGGGTTCCTCCTAATGCAAGACAATGCTAGACCTCATGTGGCTGGAGTGTGTCAGCAGTTCCTGCAAGAGGAAGGCATTGATGCTATGGACTGGCCCGGCCGTTCCCCAGGCCTGAATCCAATTGAGCACATCTGGGACATCATGTCTCGCTCCATCCACCAACGCCACGTTGCACCACAGACTGTCCAGGAGTTGGCGGATGCTTTAGTCCAGGTCTGGGAGGAGATCCCTCAGGAGACCATCCGCCACCTCATCAGGAGCATGCCCAGGCGTTGTAGGGAGGTCATACAGGCACGTGGAGGCTACACACACTACTGAGCCTCATTTTGACTTGTTTTAAGGACATTACATCAAAGTTGTATCAGCCTGTAGTGTGGTTTTCCACTTTAATTTTGAGGGTGACTCCAAATCCAGACCTCCATGGGTTGATACATTTGATTTCCATTGATAATTTTTGTGTGATTTTGTTGTCAGCACACTCAACTATGTAAAGAAAAAAGTATTTAATAAGATTATTTCATTCATTCAGATCTAGGATGTGTTATTTTAGTGTTCCCTTTATTTTTTTGAGCAGTGTATATATATATATTCCCTACATATATGAAGGAACCTTTCATGAAGAATTTATTTGTTGCCTCAGTTGAAATGTTCTGTGTACATGAAGGGGCATGTTTTACAATGGGACCGTTGTATTGGGATCTGTACCTGCTCGGCACTCTGGTGTTGTGGCAAGAGTCAGAGAGGTGTCTCCCTCTGTACAGGCACCGCGAGGTGCTGGCATCAAAGCGCTTATCTCCTGAACTCAGCAAGGTCCTTAATAATGTTGTGAAGATGGTCAGCTTCATAAAGGCAAATGCTACCAACTCTTGCATTTCTGCTGCCTTTTTGATATGTTCCCCCTATTCTCAATTCATTTTGCGTACTTGGATGTAGGCTATATGCCCATCATGGAAAGAGAGATGAGATGATCCGGTGACGCTCGTATTTAGAAACATTTACCTTTTTTCCCCCTGTATCAATTGCTTGTTTTCCATTTTGTTTGAAAAAAAAAGAAAACAAGCCCTTATAGGCTTCCCCTGCCCTACTATAACAAAAGCTGGCTCAACAGCAATGCGTCTGGTGTCTTTCTTATCCAGGAATATGCATTAGCCAAGTAGCCTATCCATAAAAGGTTTCAAAATGGTGTACTTGTGAGGCTTTTGCCATCATGCTTTTGCATTATTCACAATTCACATAGGCCTACCTGCAGTGAATAAGCTGCTCCATTCGGCTTGTATCCATCCCCATTTTTACAAAAGACGTGTTTCTCCAAACAGTATTCAGTCGTATACCACCATATCAACGGTAGGCCTAGGCTATATCTTGCTAATTGAGAACGACGTGCCTCACACACACACACAATACAATTTACGGGAGCCTAGGACTTTTTATTTGACGAGAAGTGCGTTTGTTAAAATAGAGTCCTTTAGTGGAATTTCCTCATCCCATCCTGAAGAAAGATAAGCGAAACAATCCCCTTACTCCATCCTCGCTGAAATTTTCCCCGGGACACTTTTTCCATAGGCGGAAACCAGCTTCTCTCAGAAGTACAAAGGCATCCATTTTGGGAAGATGACATGGGAGCGAGGTGAGGTGAAGGTGGTGGAGGGCCTTGGACCTGGGCAATATGAGCCTGAAGAGTGAGTCCCGTCCGCCTCTCCTCACACTCAACACTTCACTTCTACTAAACAAACACACCTAGCCTAGGCTACTCCAGTCCAGTGACTCTGGTCCATAGGAACATGTTGGTCACACATCTATAGGCAATCGGTACAAGAGGCTAAAATTCCCTGAAATGTGCATCTGTTTTCCTCTTTATCGATTCCACTCAGGCCAAATGACAGCACGGATATACACTCCACTATCCAGTCATTTGTACCTCCAAAGTAATATTAAAGTGTTTAACATTGTCTACAAGGCACTTCCTGACAGTATTGATGGTGAGTAAGGAGGAGTCTTACTAAGCCCTTTTAGGATATTATGGGCATGCTCCCAACATAGTTATTTGAAAGGCAATTTCAGCTCAATAGTAGGGAGGGCACCTGCATCCCCCAGCCATCACTCTCCTCAATTGAGCTTGATTTGGACTTGTATATCACTCCTCCCCGCCCTCTCCCATGCCTTGATATATGTGATTAACCGGGTCATATGGAGATGATTGACAGGGGAAATAAATCTTCCCCCACTCCTAAGAGCTTCAGTGTTGTGGACAAATAGACTTCCCCTTTCCTCCCCCATCCCATGTTCCTGTGCAGGGATTCCACGGCAGAGTACGAGAAGGTCAATATGAGGAAGAAGCAGAAGAGCCGGGCCGAGTCATCCCGCACTACCATTAGATTGTCACCTTGCAAGAAGAGAAGACGGTAACTCCTTAGTGATGTGTCCATACCAGTGATGCCTCGTTGTACAGTAACAACCCCAGTCATAATCAGTACAGTGACACTTCTCTCTTGACCTCTTACATAGATAGAGCTACTAGAAATGCTACAGTTTCCTTAAAGCTAGAGAAGGCCAAACTAGCTAGTATGGTTAGTATGGAGTATGGTTCACGACTTGACTAGACTAGAGTGACATAGAAGCAGAGCTATGCAGGTTTGAATGCACTGGATTGAGAGTGAGAGTGTGTTGACAAAGAGAGAAACGGGGGGAACACTAGTGGTGTGCTTTCTGCTCTACTGGCAGCCCTGAGGCTAAAGTGGCCTCAGGGAGGGAGGGAAAGAGGGAGGGAGAGAGGGAACAAGGGATGGAGGTAGAGAGAGACCAAGAGAGAGCGAGAGAGAGCGAGCACTCCCAACTCTCTCCTAGAGAGACAGGAAGTCAACTCTGTGCGAATCTAGGAGCCTTGGAAGGGGTCTATGAGTCTGTTCTATCCATCGCTGCTGAAAAGGAAACTGCTCTCTCTCATCAAACATAGGAGCAGGTCTCCAACAGCAGCACTAATCGGGAACTGGAGGTTTGGAGTGTTATTGTTCTCTTCAAGGTCATAAAAATACCTTTTTCAATCTCCAATGGAAAATTCTTTGTGCTCCCGTTCCCAAGAATGGCTACGTGGTCCCATGATTTTTCACCGAAATGTCTCCAGCCTTTCTGTTTTTCCTTTCCTTTCTTTCTTGTGAAATGCTTATTGCATGTGTGATATTGTGGTGGTCTAATATCTTTATGACTCCTCTCACCGTTATATCTTGTACCACTAGAGGGCCTTCAAGCTTAACATTTGGACAGAGCCTGCTAGTTTGATAAGTAGAACGCAGTTACTCACCTGCAAACTAACTTGAATGCACAGATGTGGTAGAGATGTTGGTTGCTTGATTTCTTCATTTAGTAAAGTGCTCTAATGAGAAACGTGATTTACGGAAGAGGTGTGTTTTACCTTTACACCTCCCTTCCATGAGCAGGACTACCGAAATGATACTTTAAAGTATTTGTTACATTTACACATTTATTAAAACTTTACACATTTGTATATTTATAATCTCTCATATATATATATATATATATATATACACACACTGAACAAAAATATAAATGCAACATGTAAAGTGTTGGTCCCATGTTCCATGAGCTGAAATAAAAGTTCCCAGAAATGTTCCATATGCACATAAAGCTTATTTCTCTCAAATGTTGTGCACCAATTTGTTTACATCCCTGTTAGTGAACATTTCTATTTTGCCAATATAATTCATCTACCTAACAGGTGTGGCATATCAAGAAGCTGATTAAACAGCTTGATATAAATGGCGCTGGAGGAGATGGCTGCCGTTTCACAGCCCTCTAATCAATTGTGCTACTATGTGTGTTTTTTCGCGTTATTTGTAATTTATTCTGTACATAATGTTTCTGCCACCATCTCTTATGACCAAAAAGAGCTTCAGGATATCAGGACAGCGATTACTCACCTCGTATTGGATGAAGATTTTTCTTCAACGAGTCGGACGCGAAGGATATTCTACAAACACCCGACAAGGCCCAAATCCCGATCATTCGCATGAGAGAGAGACAGCTATATCGTGGGACGTAGGTCGGGGTGCCTTGAGAGGATTCGACGGCGAGCGAGTAAGCTGCCTCTTCCATCAATCCTTTTTGCCAACGTACAATCATTTGAAAACTAAATGGACGACTGTTACGGATACAGGTATCCTGTATGTGTATTTGTTTTTCCTCTCCTTCTGCCCTAATCACAGGTGTCCCTTGTTTTCCTGATTGGTGGTCGTTGGTGTGTCCCACCTGTCCGACATCCATTTGTCTGCTGATTGCTGAGGTGGACCAATCAGTGGACACTCCTCCGTATTGCACCACCTGTTTCTGGTTTTTCATTACCATATCACATCACACATCCCCTGGTTTTAAAAGCCAGTCAGTTGTGTTTTCTGACCAAGACTCTTTTTTTTGTGATGTGTAATGTGGTGTCTTGTTTTTGTGTACTCACTCGTTTGCTGTTTAGTCCATATGGTACCTATGTTGTTTGTTTGTGCCTGGGAAAAGGGGGGTTTAGCAAGTCGCCCTTGGGCATACACTACCCGTAGGAAAACCTTGTCTAAACACCCACTGTATTTTTGTATGGTTAGCAGTAAGCTTAGCGGTTCTTGAGGCAGGCAAGATCAGTTTAGGGTTTTTTGACTTTATTGTTTCATTCCTTGGGTCCAGCTCAGCCCCTTTTCCCCGAACCGTGTACTGGGTGTTTATAATAAACATTTTGTGTTTGACGGTAGCATACGGTTGTCGGTGTATTTTGTTCTCACTGTTCCTTGTCAATATTCTAATTCGCGTGAGTTGTCTCTCTTTTCCATCCCCCCTAGACTTTTAAAGCCACAGGGTTTGTAACAACAACCTAATATCAAGAATATCCTACCAACGGGACATTAAAAACTGTAATATCTTATGTTTCACCGAGTCTTGGCTGAACGACGACATGGATAACATACAGCTGGCGGGACATACGCTACATCGACAGGATAGAACGACTCCGGTTAGACAAGGTGTGGCGGTCTGTGTATATTTGTAAACAACAGCTGGTGCATAAAATCTAATACGAAGGAAGTCTCGAGGTTTTGCTTGCCTGAGGTAGAGTAGCTCATGATAAGCTGTAGACCACACTATTTGCACCAGTGACTCGGTTAATAAGGAAGTGATCAGATGACGCAGATGCTACGCTACAGGACTGTTTTGCTAGCACAGACTGGAATATGTTATTCCGATGGCATTGAGGAGTACACCACATCAGTCACTGGCTTCATCAATAAGTGCGTCGATGACGTAGTCCCCACAGTGACCGTTCGTACATACCCCAACAAGAAGCCATGGATTACAGGCAACATCCGCACTGAGCTAAAAGGTAGAGCTGCCGCTTTTAAGGAGCGGGACTCTAACCCGTACACTTATAAGAAATCCCGCTATGCCCTCTGACGAACCATCAAACAGGAAAGAGTCAATACAGGACTAAGATTGAATCGTACTACACCGGCTCTGACGCTCGTCAGATGTGGCAGGGCATGCAAACTATTACAGACTAGGAAAGCACAGCCGCGAGCTGCCCAGTGACACGAGTCTACCAGAAGAGATAAATCACTTCTACGCTCGCTTCGAGGCAAGCAACACTGAAGCATGCATTTGAGTATCAGCTGTTCCGGATGACTATGTGATCACGCTCTCCGTAGCCGGTGTAAGACTTTCAAGCTGGTCAACATTCACATTCTTCCTACTGTTATTTTATTTTACTGCAGCTCTTTAATTATTTGCTATTTTTATTTTTTATTTTCTATTTTTTACTTTTCTTAAAACTGCATTGTTGGTTAAGGGCTTGTAAGTAAGCATTTCACTGTAAGGTCTACACCTGTTGTATTCGGCGCATGTGGCAAATAACATTTGATTTGATTTGACAAGGCCGCAGGGCCAGACGGATTACCAGGAAGTGTCATCACTGTCATTTTCAACATGTCCCTGACTGAGTCTGTAATACCAACATGTTTCAAGCAGACCACCATAGTCCCTGTGCCCAAGAACACTAAGATAACCTGCCTAAATGACTACTGACCCGTAGCACTCATGTCTGTAGCCATGAAGTGCTTTGAAAGGCTGGTCATGGCTCACATAAACACCATTATCCCAGAAACCCTAGACCCACACCAATTTGCATACCGCCCCAACAGATCCACAGATGATGCAATCTCTATTGCACTCCACACTGCCCTTTCCCAGCCGGACAAGAGGAACACCTACGTGAGAACGCTATTCATTGACTACAGCTCAGCGTTCAACACCATAGTGCCCTCAAAGCTCATCACTAAGCTAAGGACCCTGGGACTAAACACCTCCCTCTGCAACTGGATCCTGGACTTCCTGACGGGCCACCCCCAGGTGGTAAGGGTAGGTAACAACACATTTGCCACACTGATCCTCAACACGGGGGCCTCTCAGGGGTGCGTGCTCAGTCCCCTCCTGTACTCCCTGTTCACCCATGACTGCATGGCCAGGCACGACTCCAACACCATCATTAAGTTTGCCGATGACACAACAGCGGTAGGCCTTATCACCGACAACAATGAGGCAGCCTATAGGGAGGAGGTCAGAGACCTGGCCGTGTGGTGTCAGGATAACAACCTCTCCCTCAATGTGATCAAGACAAAGGAGATGATTGTGGACTACAGGAAAAAAAAGAGGACTGAGCACGCCTCCATTCTCATCGACGGGGCTGTAGTGGAACAGGTTGAGAGCTTCAAGTTCCTTGGTGTCCACATCACCAACAAACTATCATGGTCCAAACACACCAAGACAGTCGTGAAGAGGGCACGACAAAGCCTATTCCCCCTCAGGAGACTGAGAAGATTTGGCATGGGTCCTCAGATCCTCAAAAAGTTATACAGCTGCACCATCGAGAGCATCCTGACCTGTTGCATCACCGCCTGGTATGGCAACTGCTCGGCCTACAGAGGGTAGTGCATACGGCCCAGTACATCACTGGGGCCAAGCTTCCTGCCATCCAGGACCTCTATACTAGGCGGTTTTAGAGGAAGGCCCTAAAAATTGTCAAAGACTCCAGCCACCCTAGACATAGACTGTTCTCTCTGCTATCGCACGGCAAGCGGTACCGGAGCGCCAAGTCTAGGTCCAAAAGGCTTCTTAACAGCTTCTACCCCCAAGCCATAAGACTCCTGAACAGCTAATCATGGCTACAGCTAATTATCGCTACCCGGACTATTTGTATTAAAAGGCCACTCTAAAATGTGCAGTTTTGTGACACAACACAATGACACAGATGTCTCAAGTTTTGAAGGAGCTTTCAATTGGCAGGCTGACTGCAGGAATGTCCACCAGAGCTGTTGCCAGAGAATTTAATGTTTTAATTTCTCAACTGTAAAATCTTGTTTTAGAGAATAGTCCAACCGAACTCACAACCACGCCAGGCCAGGACCTCCACACCCGGCTTCTTCACCTGCGGGATCATCTGAGACCAGCCACCCGGACAGCTGAAGAAACTATGGGTTTGTACAATAGAATAATTTCTGCAAAAACTGCTAGAAACCGTCTCAGGGAAGCTCATCTGCGTGCTCGTCGTCCTCACTGGGGTTTTGACCTGACTGGAGTTCGGCGTCATAACCGACTTCAGTGGGCAAATGCTCACCTTCGATGGCCACTGGCACGCTGGAGAAGTGTGCTCTTAACGGATGGCAGACAGCATGTATGGCGTTGTGTGGACGAGCGGTTTGCTGATGTCAACGTTGTCAACAGAATGCCCCATGGTGGCGGTGGGTCTATTGTATGGGCAGGTATAAGCTAGGGACAACAAACACAATTGCATTTTATCGATCGCAATTTGAATGCACAGAGATACCATGACGAGATCCTGTGGCCCATTGTTGTGCCATTCATCCGCCACCTTCACCTCATGTTTCAGCATGATAATGCATGGCCCTATGTCACAAGGATCTGTACACAATTCCTGTAAGCTGAAAATGTCCCAGTTCTTCCATGGCCTGCATACACAGTTGACATGTCACCCATTCAGCACTTTTAGAATGCTCTGGATCGACGTGTACGACAGCGTGTTCCAGCTCCCACCAATATCTAGCAACTTCGCACTGCCATTGAAGAGGAGTGGGACAACATTACACAGGCAACAAATCAACAGCCTGATCAACTCTATGCGAAGGAGATGTGTCTCTCTGCAGATACATTTGGGGGTCACACAAATGGTGGTCACACTAGATACTGACTGGTTTTCTGATCCCACACCCCTACCTTTTTTTTAAGGTATCTGTGACCAACAGATGCATATCTGTATTCCCAGGCATGTGAAATCCATAGATTAGGGCCTAATGAATTAATTTCAGTTGACTGATTTCCTTATATGAACTGTAACTCAGTAAAGTCTTTGAAATTGTTGCATGTTGCATTTATATTTTTGTTCAGTTGTTCATTATTATTATTACAGTTAAATAACACAGATGACAATAGAATTAGTACATCCAAGACAGTACAAACAGTTCAAGTTGACTCCCTCTCAACGGTCCAGCTACACCACGCGTGAAATCCACATCCGTGAGACTTGCATGATATGGAGTTTATAGGGTCCTACTGTAGTCAATTGTACCTGCTACATGGTAGTATACGTTGCTCTGCTGTAGCAGCAATTACAATTAGGTTTGTAGGAAATGTTTCTCTGATCCAAGTGCGTAAACACCATACAAAGTGCCTGAAATAATTGGTATAATCATTTTTTGACACTTAAAAACATATTGGCTGAATCTCAAACCGAACACTTTGTGCACTCGATCACTCGATATGTGCATTCACAAGTCAATCGAGTCAATCTCAAAAGCTACTTGTTGAGTCATTGAGGGCTCCACTTTTGAAGCCTCTTTATCAAGTGGGCATCCTATGCCGACTTGGCGCCCTTGGCAGCAACTTCTTCCCATGAATCTTAGAATGTTACCTAGCAACAACAGTCACTACTACGTCACCCTCAAATATAGTCAGAATAAATCATGAAATCTGTAATTCGTTTTGAAATGTAATTTCGAAGTGGTCTTAGTCGCACAATTTTAGATCTAGCTAAGGAGTTTAGTGTATTTCTGAAGTTTTATCATGTACACAAAACATTATTAACTTGCTAGCTGAGCCTGAGCCAGTCACTTCATATGCAATGAAAGATAAGTTAATTAATCAGCTGGTGCAACACTAAATGCAATGCTCCTTCCATAAGCTAGTTAGCTAGCTACTGTAGTAACATTATTTTATCTCAATGAACAAGCCTACAACTTCATCAGAAAGCTGTCAAACTATCGTAAATAAGTGACAAGCTACATGCTGTCTATAGGTGCAGTGCCCAACATACTTAGCTAGCGCTAGCTAAAATTCAGTCTCTGTGCTTGTCAGTGAAGCTAGCTAGCAGCAGGCAGGCGCAGGCTACGCCAAGCTAAAACCAGCTGATGAAATCACTGGTGACCGATATACTTGCACATATTTTGTGCAGGAGTAGAGTAGTTTTTACAACTTTCTCACTGTCTATCAGAGTACGCGTCTGTGTGTGGCCCAGTTCCCGTGTTTCATAGCGAGTGAGTCATGCACAAGACAGGTCGTGGGAGACAACGCACATAAATTGATTTTGCATTTTGGAACATTGATAAGCTGGGCCGTTGAGTGCGCATCATCTCAATGCTCATTTTGACACACACTTTCAGACTCCAGTGATCACTATCAAACACAACAGCAAGTGGCCACTCGATAAAGGGCTTAGTGTTCGGTTTAAGATTCAGCCATTCGCTCAGCTTCATAGTATGAAAATGTAATAGAAACATTAATAATAGTAGTAGGCTACATCAATACTACAGTTTCTTCAGAAAGTATTCACACCCCTTGACTTTTTCCAAATTTTGTTGTGTTACAGCCTAAATTTAAAATGGATTAATTCTATACTTTTCTTTCACTGGCCTACACACAATAGCCCATAATGTCAAAGTGGAATTGTATTTTCGAAATTATTACAAATTAATAAAAAATTAAAAGTTAAAATGTCTTGAGTCAATAAGTATTCAACCCCTTTGTTATGGCAAGCCTAAATAAGTTTATATTTGCATAACAAGTTACATGGAATCTGCAATAATAGTGTATAAATCCCCCTAAGGTCGATGTCCGCGCCCCCGTAGAAATCAAATGAGCATAATGAAAAAATCCCCATCAAAATCTGTCAATTTAAGCTAGATATTGGGTCTCAATCTACGACATGCGCCTATGTAACACTTCCGCATCTGCGGTGAAAGGTGACAGAGGTAGAGCAGTGTTTGTCAGATCATGAGACATCCCGAAAATCAGTATTCTCACAAAATTGTCTGTAGAGTCTGAACAGTATGACCCCTCTGTGGAGAGATGAGACTCTCACGAACACAATGGTGTTCTCCGTTTTGCTCTGCGACCCCCACAAGCATCTTGAGACTCGTCTGAAATGGTTACAGCCGATCTGACAACTTCTATCTGTAGCGTCCGAACATTTTCACCCCTCTGTGTAAAGGTGAGACTCTAGGATGCCTACAGGCCTCCCAAGACTCATCTGAAGGTCCCCCGGACACTGTTTATTGACAAAAATAAGGGGTTAAATACAGGTATCACTCAGATATAGGACAGACACTTCAGAATGTTTTTCCTTTAAAAACATTGGGGGACAATCTGTTGTTCCATGTAGGGAATCTGATATTAAATGGATTTGTATGGGCTAATAACAGCAAGGCCAAAAATAATTGTTCATCAAATAATTTCTTAAAATATTTTTTTTTATACTTCAAGGGGCCTTAAAACTAAAGTTAATTTATCAAAATTATCCTTGGTATGACCTTCTTAAAACAATTCAATATCGCTTAGTGGTACCTCCCCCGGCTTAGACAGGGCTTAGACTCTTATGGGATAATATAATTTTTGAACGTCTACCTCATCTTTGTACCCTACACATACAATTATCTGTAAGGTCCCTAAGTCGAGCAGTGAATTTCAAACTCAGATTCAACAACAAAGACTAGGGAGGTTTTCCAATGCCTCGTAAAGAAGGGCACCTATTGACAGATGGGAAAAAACAACAACAAAAAACAGACATTGAATATCCCTTTAAACATGGTGAAGTTATTAATTACACTTTGGGTGGTGTACCAATACACCCAGTCACTGCAAAGATACAGGCGCCCTTCCTAACTCAGTTGCCGGAGAGGATAGAAACCGCTCAAGGATTTCACCATGAGGCCAAGGGTGACTTTTAAACAGTTAGAGAGTTGAATGGCTGTGATAGGAGAAAACTGAGGATGGATCAACAACATTGTAGTTCCTCCACAATACTAACGTAATTGACAGAGGGCAAAGAAGGAAACCTGTACAGAATAAAAATATTCAAAAACATGCATCCTGTTTGCAAAAAAAAAAAAAGTATTTGATCCCCTGCTGATTTTGTACGTTTGCCCACTGACAAAGAAATGATCAGTCTATAATTTTAATGGTAGGTTTATTTGAACAGTGAGAGACAGAATAACAAAAAAAAATCCAAACGCATGTCAAAAATGTTATAAATTGATTTGCATTTTAATGAGGGAAATAAATATTTGACCCCCTCTCAATCAGAAAGATTTCTGTCTCCCAGGTGTCTTTTATACAGGTAACGATCTGAGATTAGGAGCACACTCTTAAAGGGAGTGCTCCTAATCTCATCTTGTTATCTGTATAAAAGACACCTGTCCAAAGAAGCAATCAATCAATCAGATTCCAAACTCTCCACCATGGCCAAGACCAAAGAGCTCTCCAAGGATGTCAGGGACAAGATTGTAGACCTACACAAGGCTGGAATGGGCTACAAGGCCATCGCCAAGCAGCTTGGTGAGAAGGTGACAACAGTTGGTGTGATTATTCGCAAATGGAAGAAACACAAAAGAACTGTCAATCTCCCTCGGCCTGGGGCTCCATGCAAGATCTCACCTCGTGGAGTTGCAATGATCATGAGAACGGTGAGGAATCAGCCCAGAACTACACGGGAGGATCTTGTCAATGATCTCAAGGCAGCTGGGACCATAGTCAACAAGAAAACAATTGGTAACACGCTACGCCGTGAAGGACTGAAATCCTGCAGCGCCCAAAATGTCCCCCAGCTCAAGAAAGCACATATACATGCCCGTCTGAAGTTTGCCAATGAACATCTGAATGATTCAGAGGAGAACTGGGTGAAAGTGTTGTGGTCAAATGAGACCAAAATTTAGCTATTTGGCATCAACTCAACTCACCGTGTTTGGAGGAGGAGGAATGCTGCCTATGACCCCAAGAACACCATCCCACCATCAAACAGGGAGGTGGAAACATTATGCTAAGGGGATGTTTTTCTGCTAAGGGGACAGGACAACTTCACCGCATCAAAGGGACGATGGACGGGGCCATGTACCGTCAAATCTTGGGTGAGAACCTTCTTCCCTCAGCCAGGGCATTGAAAATGGGTCGTGGATGGGTATTCCAGCATGACAATGACCCAAACACACGGCCAAGGCAACAAAGGAGTGGCTCAAGAAAAAGCACATTAATGTCCTGGAGTGGAGTAGCCAGTCTCCAGACCTTAATCCCATAGAAAATCTGTGGAGGGAGCTGAAGGTTCGAGTTGCCAAATGTCAGCCTCGAAACCTTAATGACTTGGAGAAGCTCTGCAAAGAGGAGTGGGACAAAATCCCTCCTGAGATGTGTGCAAACCTGGTGGCCAACTACAAGAAACATCTGACCTCTGTGATTGCCAACAAGGGTTTTGCCACCAAGTACTAAGTCATGTTTTGCAGAGGGGTCAAATACTTATTTCCCTCATTAAAATTCAAATCATTTATAACATTTTTGACATGTGTTTTTCTGGATTTCTTTGTTGTTATTCTGTCTCTCACTGTTCAAATAAACCTATCATTAAAATTATAGACTGATTATGTCTTTGTCAGTGGGCAAACGTAAAAAATCAGCGGGGAATCAAATACTTTTTCCCCTCACTGTACGAACACTGATTGTCTATGAAGCTGCACTTCAGAAGAACTCTTTTGCATCATGCTGATAGCTAGACTCAAATAAACTGTTGACAGATGTCTTAACACTCTCCCAGTCTCCTCACACACACAGACACGCACACAGACACGCACACAGACACAGACACAGACACAGACACACACACACACACACACACACACACACAAACACACACTCCTCCCAACAATCTCCCAACTACCTTCACACTGGGGTACAAAACAGCTCCACCTGCATATAACATATTGTAGAGTGTCTGATGAGAGATACACAGGTTAGATCTGACGGATGGTTCAAATAGATGGTCTCCCTTTTGGACTGTACCGAGCGGGAGTTAGTGCAAGTTATTTAGAGGGAGTTAGCGGGAGTAAGTTAGTGAGAGTTAGCAGACGTTAGAAGCTCTGACCTGATTTCTCTGGCCTCACGCTGCGTTAGCGCGCCGCTTTGCCCTGTGAAGTCAACTCTCTACGGCTCTCAGCTAGGATGCTCGGCCTCTCTGATCCTCATCTTCCTGGCCCCGCGCAGCCCACGCCATCTGACACTCATCCAGAAGAAGGAGGGTGGATGAGAGGAGCAGCTGGAGCCCTCTCCCCTCCTCTGTCATTCAGACACCTTCAGTAGCCTTGTGTTGGTGCTGCAGCCCTCAGCCTCAATTCCCCCCCAGTACATACAGTGGGGAGAACAAGTATTTGATACACTGCCGATTTTGCAGGTTTTCCTACTTACAAAGGATGTAGAGGTCTGTAATTTTTATCATAGGTACACTTCAACTGTGAGAGATAGAATCTAAAACAAAAATCCAGAAAATCACATTGTATGATTTTTAAGTAATTAATTTGCATTTTATTGCATGACATAAGTATTTGATACATCAGAAAAGCAGAACTTAATATTTGGTACAGAAACCTTTGTTTGCAATTACAGAGATCATACGTTTCCTGTAGGTCTTGACCAGGTTTGCACACACTGCAGCAGGGATTTTGGCCCACTCCTCCATACAGACCTTCTCCAGATCCTTCAGGTTTCGGGGCTGTCGCTGGGCAATACGGACTTTCAGCTCCCTCCAAAGATTTTCTATTGGGTTCAGGTCTGGAGACTGGCTAGGCCACTCCAGGACCTTGAGATGCTTCTTACGGAGCCACTCCTTAGTTGCCCTGGCTGTGTGTTTCGGGTTGTTGTCATGCTGGAAGACCCAGCCACGACCAATCTTCAATGCTCTTACTGAGGGAAGGAGGTTGTTGGCCAAGATCTCGCGATACATGGCCCCATCCATCCTCCCCTCAATATGGTGCAGTCGTCCTGTCCCCTTTGCAGAAAAGCATCCCCAAAGAATGATGTTTCCACCTCCATGCTTCACGGTTGGGATGGTGTTCTTGGGGTTGTACTCATCCTTCTTCTTCCTCCAAACACGGCGAATGGAGTTTAGATCAAAAAGCTCTGTTTTTGTCTCATCAGGCCAAATGACCTTCTCCCATTCCTCCTCTGGATCATCCAGATGGTCATTGAAGTTGAAGTTGAAGTGTACCTATGATAAAAATTACAGACCTCTACATGCTTTGTAAGTAGGAAAACCTGCAAAATCGGCAGTGTATCAAATACTTGTTCTCCCCACTGTATGAGTTAATGTAGTACTTTAATACAATCTGGCATATTCAGCCTTGTTTGCATCCTGACGGAACCCTCCCTCCCCCTCCATCCACCCACGCTCCCTCCCCTACCTACATCTGTAAGAGCTCCATAATTCAACAACACATTATTAATACACATGCACTCTTTATGATTTATCCCCTCTTTCTGTCCGCTGCCTTGTATAAGTGGGGATGTACAAATCTATCGGCAGTGTTTGGGGTGGAAGGAGAGGAAGATCTCTCCAAGAACTGGTTTAACGTTGGCTTTGTAGAAGTGTTCGTAAGCGGAATGGGGAGCGTCCTTGGTTGGTGGGGAGACCGGGCTTCTCAGACTGAACACACCTGCATTTTTAAACATCAAATCATCTGCCAAATCCATGCTGAGGCTGAGAAGCAAGAGAGATATGAAGACTGTTATACAAGTGGACCTTCATGTCTATAAGAATGTTATTTACTCACCATGACCCTTTGTCCGTTTTCGTTGGTGATTTATCTGTCTATTATTCTGATCTTTGGAATAGTCAGGTGTGCAGATAGATGGCAGTTTTGTGGCAGTGCGATAGTGGATCAATAAGAAGATGCAGGGACAAGTGGCAGCATTGTAGCCTGGGTACGAGTCTGTTTGTGCCATCATGCCACTCCTTTCCACTCCTTGTCATGCAAAAAATAATAGCACAAATAGACTGGTACCCAGGCTAGCAGCATTGTGAATGGATGACATGACTGTGTGGTGTCTCCTGTTTGTCTGTCCCTCTCTATCTCTCAGTGGTTCAGTGGTTCCCCTGCTGTAGGTGTGTACAACGACCCGCGCTGCGCTCTGGAGATACTCAAGAAGACCACTGCCTGAAGAGAAGCCTCTTTGGACTGATTGCTGTGCAACTCATCCATCACAGCTGGAAACAGTCCACTCCAGGTGTGTGTGTGTGTGTGTGTGTGTGTGTGTGTGTGTGCATGCGTGCCTATGCATATGTCTTTCCCAATGTGTGCGCATGGGTGAGTGTGTGTATAGTGTATTTCCACAACACACCCCATCTCCCCCACACCTCTCAAACATGCCCTGTTACTCACATTGCTGACCCAGTGTGTGTTTATGTAATTTACGGCCTGATGTTTTATGGCTGATGCATGGTGACAGTACACCATCTAGAAATACTGCCGTTTGCCAAGTGCATAAATGTCCGGCATAAATTGGTGGCTAAAGGTAGTTTCAGTGATGACTGAAACGTCAATACGTGTGAAGTAGAGCTTTTATGTATTGCGTTTTAGTGTTTGTGTGTGTACAGAGAGAGATGTAATGTATCGAGGTAGGCGTGGGGTATCGAACAGAGTAATTCCCCCACATTTATCCATTTACAGCCCATCTTACACACACATAAACACACTCCCCACCCCACCCAGTGTTAATGCTCTGTTGTGCTCCACTCCCACCTCAGGTCCTGGTGCTTATAATATGTTTAACTATGGCCTGACCCAGGATAGCATGAAAAAGGTTTACCTAGAGAGCACCAGGAAGGGAAAATTCAGCTCGACAGCCCAACGCCGTCCCGTATTCCACAACAAGGAGGAGGTAAACATCCCTGGGCCTGTGCAGGACAAGGTAGGGCTTTCTCTACGCACCGCTAGAAAGACACCATATGATACGATACAATATAGTTTATTTTCCATTTACATGGAAATTCATTATGTGAAGTCAGAATACAAATACACAAAAACAATGCACTATAATACGTGCCGTAAGGAAAAACATTGGAAAGTCAGTACAAACATCACTGCCTCTGCGGCATACTGTCTGGCAATGTATTGGGCCCACATCTGTCCCATGTCAAACAAGGCCATTATCTGATTTGTAGAGTGCTAGAACCATGCAATGATTACAGAGCTCAGCACACTCCCATCTCCCTGTGTGTGTTTGTGTTTGTGTTTGTTTTTGTGTTTGTGTTTGTGTGTGTGTGTGGACAGGTGGAGAAGAAGACGGAGGATCTGTACAAGTGCAGCGTTTATGTTGGCCACAGAACGACTGACACACACACATCACACACACGCATGCAAGCACGCACGCGCGCACACACACACACACACACCCACACTGTGGTACAGCTTTTTAGCACATACATCTACTTAGCATGCAAACTAAGGAGTATCAACAACATAAAGTCAGAAAGCTATCTTTCACGAGAGATACTTCCCTTCCCTCAGAACAGTATTTTCTAGTCTGCTGAGGAAGATGTCTCAATTACAAATTGCTTGTGGAACAGATGTGCCTGCCTGTAAACACACAGGAACTCAGTGGTAGTAATAAGCTGGGGTTTAAGTTGGCCTCTATAAATAGGCCATCTCAGCTGGCAGTATCTGTCCAAGGGTGTCCCGAGGCTAAGCAAGAGCACGCCACTCCCTCCGTGAACACCTCCAATTTGTTCCATTCACAACAACGCCTCCCCCATTCCCCCATATTGATAAATTCCGGACCATCATACAACGAGAAACGTAATTAATTTCCCAACAAGTTGCTTCTCTTATTAATCACCTTTAACAGCTTTAGAGCGCGTCCCAAATGGCACCCTATTCCCTGTGTAGTGCACTACTTTTGACCAGAGACTAGGGTGCTATTTGGGATGCTAACTTTAATGTGCCTTCGGAAAGTATTCAGACCCCTTGACTTTTTTTCACATTTTGTTACGTTACAGCCTTATTCTAAAATTGATTAAATCGTTTTTCCCCCCTCATCAATCTACACACAATACCCCATAATGAAAAAGCAAAAACAGGTTTTCAGTAATTTTTGCTAATTTATACAAAATAAAAAAACTGAAATATCACATTTACATAAGTATTCAGACCCTTTACTCAGTGCTTTGTTGAAGCACCTTTGGCAGCGATTACAGCATCGAGTCTTCTTGGGTATGACACTACAAGCTTAGCACACCTTTATTTGGGGAGTTTCTCCCATTCTTCTCTGCAGATCCTCTCAAGCTCTGCCAGGTTAGATGGGGAGCGTTGCTGCACAGCTATTTTCAGGTTTCTCCAGAGATGTTCGATAGGGTTCAAGTCCGGGCTCTGGCTGGGCCACTCAAGGACGTTCAGAGACCTGCGCTGGGCCACTCCTGTGTTGTCTTGGTTTTGTGCTTAGGGTCGTTGTCCTGTTGGAAGGTAAACCTTCGCCCCGGTCTGAGGTCCTGAGCGCTCTGGAGCAGGTTTTCATCAAGGATCTCTCGGTACTTTGCTCCGTTCATCTTTGCCTCGATCCTGGCTAGTCTCCCAGTCCCTGCCGCTGAAAAACATCCCCACAGCATAATACTGCCACCACTATACTTCATCGTAGGGATGGTATCAGATTTCCTCCAGACGTGATGGTTGGCATTCAGGCCAAAGAGTTCAATCTTGGTTTCATCAGACCAGAGAATCTTGTTTCTCATTGTCTGAGAGTCTTTAGGTGCCTTTTGGCAAACTCCAAGCGGGCTGTCATGTGCCTTTTACTGAGGAGTGGCTTCCATCTGTCCACTCTACCATAAAGGCCTGATTGGTGTAGTGCTGCAGAGATGGTTGTCCTTCTGGAAGGTTCTCCCATCTCCACAGAGGAACTCTGGTTCTCTCTGAGTGACCATCGGGTTCTTGGTCACCTCCCTGACCATGACCCTTCTCCCCCGATTGCTCAGTTTGGCAGCCAGCCAAACTTCTTCCAGTTAAGAATGATGGAGGCCACTGTGTTCTTGTGGATCTTCAATGCTGCAGACATTTTTTGGTACCCTTCCACAGATCTGTGCCTCGACACAATCCTGTCTCAGAGCTCTACGGACAATTCCTTCGACAATTCCTTCGACCTCATGGCTTGGTTTTTGCTCTGACATGCACTGTCAACTGTGGGACCTTATCTAGACAGGTGTGTGCCAAGGATGATCAATGGAAACAGGATGCACCTGAGTCTCGATTTAGCAAAGGGTCTGAATACTTATGTAAATATGGTATTTCTGTTTTTGTTTTTTTATAAATATGCAAATATTTCTAAAAACCTGTTTTCACTTCGTCATTATGGGGCATTGTGTGTAGATTCTTTTTAGAATAATGCTGTAACATAACAAAATGTGACCGACCAGCTTGATCTTATGTAGTAAAATATGGTATAGCATACACTACAGTTGAGGAGCAGTAATTCTGCTTTGAAAGTTTATAAACTTGTAACCTCACTTTTGAGTAAATGGCCCTTGAATGTTTTGGTAAACCTACTGGAGAGCTCTTCTTTGTCTACACCCATTCAGCATCATTCACACCCTCTTAAGCCTTAGCCCCACCCATCTCTTTAAGGATTCACATGTGAGGCCATGTACTAAACAACCAAAGATTTCAAGACTAAAGGCTGGTTTATACTACGGGTGTGTTCGTAAATTCAATCTGGAGTGCAAGAGTGTGCTCAGAGTGCGCTCTGGGCGTTTGTAAACTCAGAGCGTTGTCACATTGTCCGTTTGTAAATTCAGAGCGTTTCGCTCTCGGAGCGTTCAGAGCACACACTGGACGCTCTGGCCGAGGAGTAGGGTTGATCCGAGCGTTCTGACCTAACAACAGCAGTCAAGCACCCAAGCTAACAGGCTATCGTTGGCTAGCTTGCTAGCTTCTTCCAGACACAAATGAGAAAACAGCTCACTCTGACCATTTTACTTGCCCTAGCAGAGCTTCTTAGGCTGTTTTTAATGTTATCCAGAGTGTTGGTGACTGTAACTGTGCTGCTGGCAACAATTTAATTATGCTTTTTTGCCAAAGTTTACTGACACCAACCATATTCAACGGGTGTTGAGCGTTTGTAAATTCATCAGTTATTCTGCGCTCTGTCTCACTCAGGCGAGAGTGCTCTGAAATTGGAGTAGATAGCCAGACGGAATTTATCATTTACGTCTATCGACAGTTGTCGAAGTACATCATGAACATTCTATTGAAATGGTTACTTGCATAGTGGAGTCTTTTGTTTAGACATGTAGCTAGCTAGCTAAACAATTAACCATAATCCCAACTCATAACGTTACTACCCTGCATGAATCTGCAGGTAGCTTACCAACCAGGTTCAATGTTAGCTAGCTAACATTAGGCTATAACTAGCAATGCAAATGGCTCTGAGATACGAATAATATTACTACTACTACTACTACTACTAAACTAGCGATCCAGCCAGCTAATGTTAGCTAAATAGCTAACAGTACGCTTTAACTTGAAATGAAAACGACTTTCTGAAAAAATTAGAAATGTGTAATATCTGAGAATGTAGCTAGCTAGACTATCTTACCCATATACATGGATGGACGCTTCTCCCGCTCTGTCACGGTTTGAAGATGTAATCCAGAGACAGGTGTTTTATACAATAGCCTTCTGTGTGTTCTCTTTTTGACTCACTCTGCATATTTGCAATCAAACGCCAGAATGTTCTCCATCTCCTTAGCTATCATATTCTAATTCCACTGATTTCAAAACTCGGTCAACATTTCAGTGCCAACATTTCATACCGCATATGATGGCATTGGCAATATATCATATGGCCAATGGACACTGAAATGTTGGCGCTTGCAATATATCAAATGGCCAATGGACACTGTCCATTTCAAATAAATGTAAGCAGTGATTTACCATCAGCAAATGGACAGGCTGAAATCAACACCAACAAGCAAGGGAGAGAAAACACTATCACTGCTAGGCCATCACAGGTTCAATGAGCCAGACAATTGGGCATTTCAGCAATGTAACAGCATGTTCAATTCATGAAGATAAATGCCCATTGTAATATATTGCTAATGGACAGTGTCCATTGGCCATATGATATATTGAATGTGCCAACATTTCATGATGCAATTGGACAGTGTCCATTGCCAATATACAGTGGGGAAAAAATGTATTTAGTCAGCCACCAATTGTGCAAGTTCACCCACTTAAAAAGATGAGAGAGGCCTGTAAATTTCATCATAGGTACACGTCAACAATGACAGACAAAATGAGGAAAAAAAATCCAGAAAATCACATTGTAGGATTTTTAATGAATTTATTTGCAAATTATGGTGGAAAATAAGTATTTGGTCAATAACAAAAGTTTCTCAATACATTGTTATATACCCTTTGTTGGCAATGACACAGGTCAAACATTTTCTGTAAGTCTTCACAAGGTTTTCACACACTGTTGCTGGTATTTTGGTCCATTCCTCCATGCAGATCTCCTCTAAAGCAGTGATGATTTGGGCTGTCGCTGGGCAACATGGACTTTCAACTCCCTCCAAAGATTTTCTATGGGGTTGAGATCTGGAGACTGGCTAGGCCACTCCAGGATCTTGAAATGCTTCTTACGAAGCCACTCCTTCATTGCCCGGGCGGTGTGTTTGGGATCGTTGTCATGCTGAAAGACCCAGCCACGTTTCATCTTCAATGCCCTTGCTGATGGAAGGAGGTTTTCATTCAAAATCTCACGATACATGGCCCCATTCATTCTTTCCTTTACACAGATCAGTCGTCCTGGTCCCTTTGCAGAAAAACAGCCCCAAAGCATGATGTTTCCACCCCCATGATTCACAGTAGGTATGGTGTTCTTTGGATGCAACTCAACATTCTTTGTCCTCCAAACACGACGAGTTGAGTTTTTACCAAAAAGTTATATTTTGGTTTCATCTGACCATATGACATTCTCCCAATCCTCTTCTGGATCATCCAAATGCACTCTAGCAAACTTCAGACGGGCCTGGACATGTACTGGCTTAAGCAGGGGAACATGTCTGGCACTGCAGGATTTGAGTCCCTGGCGGCGTAGTGTGTTACTGATGGTAGGCTTTGTTACTTTGGTCCCAGCTCTCTGCAGGTCATTCACTAGGTCCCCCCGTGTGGTTCTGGGATTTTTGCTCACCGTTCTTGTGATAATTTTGACCCCACGGGGTGAGATCTTGCGTGGAGCCCCAGATCGAGGGAGATTATCAGTGGTCTTGTATGTCTTCCATTTCCTAATAATTGCTCCCACAGTTGATTTCTTCAAACCAAGCTGCTTACCTATTGCAGATTCAGTCTTCCCAGCCTGGTGCAGGTCTACAATTTTGTTTCTGGTGTCCTTTGACAGCTCTTTGGTCTTGGCCATAGTGGAGTTTGGAGTGTGACTGTTTGAGGTTGTGGACAGGTGTCTTTTATACTGATAACAAGTTCAAACAGGTGCCATTAATACAGGTAATGAGTGGAGGACAGAGGAGCCTCTTAAAGAAGAAGTTACAGGTCTGTGAGAGCCAGAAATCTTGCTTGTTTGTAGATGACCAAATAGTTATTTTCCACCATAATTTGCAAATTAATTAATTAAAAATCCTACAATGTGATTTTCTGGATTTTTTTCCCCTCAATTTGTCTGTCTAGTTGACGTGTACCTATGATGAAAATTACAGGCCTCTCTCTTCTTTTTAAGTGGGAGAACTTGCACAATTGGTGGCTGACTAAATACTTTTTTTCCCCACTGTATATGAATGAGGATTTTCCATTACGAAATAGACATGCTTAAATTAACACCTCAGAGTGAGGGATAGGATACACTGTGAGTAA